AGGATAATGGGTAAAGAAACTAAATGGGCAGAGAGAAAACAAGAGGCTTCAGGTATTGCACAAAGCTGTTCAGGAATATATTATTTGTATATACACCTTATTAAAGGTATTATACAAAGAGTTTAGGAAAAAAATTAAAAATTGCAGGACAAACAGGTGGAAAATTTTCACTCACTTTCTCAGCTGTGGATCAGAATTCAGGTGAAGCAACTCTGTGCAGCCAAAGGTGAATAAATATAATGTAATTTCTTGGAACTGTTGTATGAAAACAGGATGTGGTCCTACCACACTATTTGCTATAAATCAACCAGAAGTTACAGAGCTTCATGGAAGAACTACTGGAGGAAATTCATGGCTTAGTATAGCAGGTTCAAACTGATCATCCTGGCATTAAAATCCATGAAGCTATAACCTCCTCTGTGTCCTGATTCAAAGCTGCTCAGGTGGTAGATGTAAAAATCAAAGCCTTTGGCAGCAACACCAGACTTGTAACAGCACGACTGTACTGTGAGGCAGATGAGGGAATTAATCCAGATTAAAAATACTAATGCCAAGGGAAAAAAGCATGGTTTACCTTTTTTTTTAAACATGGTTTGATTTCATAGACCAATTTACACATGACTCAGAGCATGATGCAGGTGATAGCATAGGAAAAAATAGTAAGGAAAGGATAAATGTCTCAAAATGAGACTGCTCCCAAAAACTTTGCATCATGAAACCACAACCTAATAACTTAGCTGCTATATCAAAACAAAAAAGCAGAGCTGTCACATGGCCATTAAAGCCAATATGATGGTGACTGACTATAACAAAACATGTGTGTTCCTTTCCTGGACTAATATTATCCTCTAACCGCAAGTATATCAGCTTCTAAACTTCTACCCTTTGCCAAAAATGATTAGAAAACTGGAAGCAGGAGTTTTCATCTTTCAAAGCTTATAGCCTGCATTAGTGACATGAGCAACCCTGGCTGAATGCACTCAGGGTGCAGGACTGTGAGAATGCAAACTCTAACAGGTGATGCACATGGCACTCCAGACTGGTGTTTTGAAATGGGGAGGTTTATATGATCACACAGTCTATCTGCCTGCTACTGCATCTTTTTCTCTGATCCATTCCCCACAGTAGCTTAAAAATAGTTTTAAAAACTACTGTCAGAGCAACTGAACTCTCAATACAATGATGCTTCAATGAACGGGAAAGAGCATTGGAGACAACTAGAGTTATCAGAGTAACGAGGAGAAGCAGATAAGGGAGGTGACATAAAAATTCCATAATATCTCTGAAATACTCAGTTATTGCAGCAATGAGCACTGTGGAGAAGTCCATACAAGCCTAAATACTTTAGTATCTAAGGATCAGTGAAATACAGTGAAATATGAGAGATGTGGGACAGAAATCCCCCGGATTTCAATTTTTTTCCTGTTGTACCAATATATTTATATGAATTCGTATAAATCAGTGTCATAAACTACTCAGGCTTTAGATGAGAGCTGGCCAGTTTCCTAACTTATGGCATGAATCTTGTGTAAGCCTCTGTTGCTCACAACCTGCTTTCAAGCTTCCTCCACCTGGATTTCCAGCTCCAAATCCAGAAAGCAGAAGTACTTGTTTTTCCTCAGATGCCTCCTAGTAATCAAATATCCTAAAGCTTCCAGTGACATTAATCCAGAGGCAATCCAAGTATTATTAGTATTATTGTCCTGAAGGCAGTAACTGAACTTTAACAGCCCTGACCAGCCCCACCTGGAACTCATACCCATGCTCTCTGTCTATTGGCCAGGGGCTCTATTTAAGCTCAGCCCTGGGCTGCTAATCTCTATTTGAGTATGATCTGGGTGTGTTTGTGTGTCTCCTTGCTTCTGGCTCCTGGATGGATCAGGGCTCAATGCTGTAGGTACGTTCCCTCGTGGTGGAACCTCCCTGGCACGTGCTGTAGCTCGTCTCTCCTGCCCTCTGAATGGATTTTGAACCCATACCCATGTTGGGAGCTTCTTTCTGGGCCTCTCACTGCTCCTGTCTTGCCTTGGTCCATCCCCTTGCTGCTTCTGTGGTAGCAGCTCCCTGCTCTGTCCCCTCTGCTCGGGATGGTGCCCCCTCAGTAAGGGCACAGCCTGTGCTGTGATAACCCTCAGCTTGTATCTTTTCAACCCTTAAAGAGAAACTGGTCCTTGCTGCTTCCTGACAATCCTTTCCTTAATCATAATTTCTTCATAATTCTGACCTGCTTTTTAGGGCACAGATAAATATCAGTGTAGTTTTCCTGAATTTGTACTTCTCTGATTACTTTGTTACCTTGGCACTATAATCCTTGTGTTTCAGTGAGAGTCAGTGCATCCTGAGATCTTGCATTTGGTAGAGAACACAATTTTCTAGGTTTTTTTTGATGTACTTTTGCAAGAGAAATGCAGCCTTATTTCAGCACTGAATAACAAGTCAGGGACATACTTGCCCTCTTCATGCTGGTGTTGAGTGTGACTCTCACATTCTCCCTTTCCTAAGCAGATATCTCATTTCCTATTTTATCAGACAGTTTCCTGTACTTCATTCTTGTTCCTTCTTGGACTTTAGTCTCTGGCTGCCTCTCCTATCTCCCCCTCTCTAACAGAACAAATTGTTTTGTCTTGTTATTTGCAGCCGCCTCACCTACCCTTATTTCACCTTGCACTTAAATGTAACAGGGCTCTTCCACTGCTCAGTTTCTTCTGCATTAACCAGTTTTCTGCAGTGGCCACTTAGATCCATCGATCATCTTTCTTGTGTGGTCTGTGTGAGATGTTTGTCTCTGCTCTCTCCTTCTATCCAAATTCTTTCTGTAATTCATTCTCCCCTCGTGTTGCACTCTGTTCCTTATCTGTTTCACCTGTAAATGCTGTCTATGAGAACTTTCTAAAAGAAGTTCCATGCCATGTTTCCTTTTGTCTGCTCAGTGGCTCTCCTGCCAGCTGCTTGGCTTTTCAGCCCTTTTGTTTTCAACTCAGTCTTCTTTCCACACACATTTGGTAAACGGTTCCATAGGAGGAATTCACAGGCAGGAAGCTTCCTCTATGCCTCTGTCCTACTCACAACATACCACAAACTACAGTTCACAACAAACTAGCGGGCAATGAGCAAACTAACACATCTACTTTCCAAAGAACAATCAGACTTTTCCTTCCTCACTGAATTTTCCTGTTTGTTTTCTGAACAATTGTTCGTGAGTGTTCACATCATCTGTGCAGTGCACTGTAAGTGCTGGGTCCTGTAGAATAATTAATATTTGATCATGTCATTCATGCCTATAACAAGATTGCACAGTTTAATTATGCCATTTCCCAGCTGTACAGTCTCAGCATTTTTCATGGGTTTTTTTTAAGCAGTGAATGTACAGTTTTTGTGTATATTTCTAAAAAAATAAATGGCCCAACTTACAGATTTTGCATTGAAATACATTTTAAGAAGCACTTTCCTAATAAGTGAATGTATCCAAGATTTTGTTTTGACCCATTTTGGAATGAGTTGTAAAGTCCAGGTGGAGTTGAAGTTTGGGGATGTTAAAATCTATGATTCTGTATCAGGCTCACTTTCTTATCTCACTCCTGGCCCTTTCCTCTGTTCTGTGGCTTCTGAAAAGCAGTCCCTGTGTCCACAGGGGAGAATGTTAAGCCCGAAAGGCCAAACCCAAACAGGGGTAAGCACAACACTGTTGCTTGTTAGTATTTTTACCTTTGTCTCTGTAATTTGTCACACTCTTTAGTGCTTTGAAAGTGGATGATTTTCTTGTGCAAAGGTCTGGAGAGGCATCAGGTAGTGTGCTCCGTGCTGCATCCCCCTGAGGTTTGCTGGTGCTGAGCTCCGACTGACAAACGCGCACCCTGAAGTCTGTGCTCAGTGTTCCGTGAGGAGGCAGCAAACCTGCCAGCTGGCCATGGAGGGGCGATGGCATCAGCTGCAGCCTATCCCTCTGCTTGCTACATCACATTTCTGCTCTGGGAGGATTAGAAACCAGGGGAGCGGAGAGCAAATTGCTGCAGGCACATGAGTTTGGGGGCAGGGGAGCACATTCATGCAACTGCTTTTTTTGAACGCTTCTCTCTTGATCCCAAGCTACCTGCTCTGTCAGATGGGGAAGGGGGGACTGCAAAGGGAGAGTCTGACTTTCAGGAAAGACTGTGGAAAACTGTAACTCAGATTACTTGCGAGATTAAAGGATTAGAGTCAATTCACACCGCAGTCAAAATGAAATTTCAGCCTCTGTTTTTTGTGTAATGTGCAGTGGGCCAGAGCTGTGCTGGTGCTTACAGAACTCAGCATCCTCAACAGCCCATGCAGGTCTAGTTCCTGATTTCTGTGCATTTCCTGCTCTAGTACAAGTGTTTCCTTGTATGTGACATACATACCAGTAATTAGCAGCCTCTCTTGTGATAAGTATAGAACATGCTGTATGGTACCACCTTTCCCTTTCTCCCACTCCCTATACTGGGTATTTCCTCAAATAATTTATCTGGGAAATCCTTTCTCTGAAGCATTGCAAACAGATATTGGAATCCAGTTTCTTCATTAAAAAACCCCCAACCCAACAAACCCAAACAACAACATAAAAACACTCCTGTAAGGCCCTTCTTGAATGTGGTTTGATACTACAGAATCTTGTGCACCAAATTACAGTGTATAGTGGAACTGGCTGTTATACTCCTGGTGTGTGAAATTACTTGGCCACAGAACCAGTTTCAATACTAACTTTCTGTTTGAAGTCTGGACTAGCTCAGTTTCCAAGATCAGGTTTCTGGTGTGAATACCTGTTTCCAAAATCTGACATATAATGGAGTATTTCCATGATTAAAAATTAAATTAAAAGAGAGAAGGCTACATGTTCGAGCTCCAGGCTCTGTGGGTCTCTGAAGAGAGCCAGGCAGCTGTGTGAGAGTTGTGCAGGAGAAGTCTCACCTCCTCATGAGGCTACTGGGGACTCCACCACGTTCTTGCTGGTAGCTATTTGACCGTATTCTTTCCCCTGACAGGTCCATGGGAAGTGTGTGTGCAGGCACAACACGGCAGGGGATCACTGTGAGAAATGTGCTCCCCTGTACAATGATCAGCCTTGGAAGCCAGGAGATGGAAAAACAGGGGCCCCAAATGAATGCAGAAGTAAGTGGAAAGGAGGGTACTGATCCAGGCTTTCAGGATGAGCACTCACCATGCCAGCAGGCAAAGCTGCCTAACAAAGACTTCTGTCGATTTACACTAATGGTGCAATTACATAAACTGGGGATAAATTGCTGGTCATTGATGGAGAGCTTCAGTATGCACATTGTGTTTCTGCAGCTGACCCACTGGGGCTATTGGGAAGTGGAATTCACAAGCCAGAAATTTAGTTTACATGCAGCTATGCCCCCTCACATTTCAGGTTCCAGCAGGGTTTAAGATACCATCAGGTTGGTTTGGAAAACGATACCATTTGACCAGTGTTGCTGTGTCTGTTACATAAACTTGAAGGATATTCTCCTGTCCCCACCAGAGTGTCGCTGCCACAACCACGCCGAGAGCTGCCACTTTGACCTGAGTGTTTGGTTGGCATCAGGAAAGCGCAGTGGGGGAGTCTGTGACAACTGCAAGCACAACACAGAGGGACATCGGTGCCAAAGGTGCAAACCAGGGTATTACCGAGACAGGGGGAAACCCATGTCCTCTGCAGAGGTCTGCAAACGTAAGTGACCATGTTTCGTGTGGTGAAGGCAAATGAATGGTGCAAGAGCCAATGAAAGAATGAAACAAACAATTTCTACAGAATCAATAACTCCCATAGAGGTAACTCATGAGTATTACTATATTTTCTTTGTATTCTTTTCCTAACCTACATTTTTTTAATCCAAGATGATCATCCTGATTTTTTTTGTGTCTATGTCTCCTCCTGGTATCACACACTTTTTTTGTAATAATAATATATTGCCTTTTGGGAAAGGTACATTCTTGTGTATGGGTTTAAATTAATATGGTCCCCCTTTCTTGAGGCATATTTTATTTACCTGGGGTTTTTTTCCTGCACCTCTCAAGACTGTGTTTGCTTATGTGCAAGCTATTGTCAAATTCCATTTGATTGTGTAACATCAGTACACATCAATACATACAATAATAGATGCAGGAAGCACAGGACCATGCATATTAACTTGGAAACAAATACATGAGAGCTCAGCTAGACTTATCTCTGAATTCCACAGCTGTATTACGGTGTGATCTGCCCAAATTAATTGCATCATTAACACTTCAGCAGAATGTGTTAGGAAGTGACTGGCACAGAGGCACTAATGGTTGCACACAGAGGGTGTACAACCTCTGGATCAAGGTAGTTTGCACCCAGCCGGTCCGAAAAAAAGCCCAAATCTCCCTTACTTAGTGTAAACATTTCCTGAATATCCTGCCAGGCTTCACACATCTGATTCCATCTGGCATCCATTTGGGAGGTTGCTACTTCCAATAATATACACAATTTCCTTTTTCCCTTTGGATAGTTTTCCTTCTCCATAGCTCAGACATCAGCTGCTAGCACAGAGAACTTCATCCTCTGTAATCTAACCTCTGACATCATGAGCTTTTAAAGCTTTCCTCACCCTTTTAATCACTCCTCTGCCTAGGACTGTGTGGCTTGCGACATTGGCTAAAATTTCTGTGCCCAACATATCCAGTGCTTCTGCTCTTCTGCATTCTTCCTGCTGGAACTTGGTGACAGCCCAGACTGCTTCCACACAACCCTTTCTTTTCAATTTCACGATGCTCATCACAGAACACTGATCAGCAGACAGGGTTGAGGGTGAGCTTATCTGACTCACCCTGCATCCCTCAGTGTCCTGTGGTGGCCCCTTCCTAGTCCTGTTTCTACTCTGAGCACATTTGCTACAGGGAAATATTGTAATGAGAACAAATTGTTGTGCCAGAAGATTAGCTTTCAATCTTCTAGTACCTAAAAGAACCTGTGTATGGACTCTTGTATCGAGCAGCAGGGTGACAGTACAGTAACCAGCATCATGTGTAATACTAGATAACTGTTAAAGTCAAGGAGCACTGGAGAGCAGCGAAAAGGGAAAAACTTTGTTTGAAAATACAGCCTATCTGTGTGGAAACCCTAGAACGGTCTGCCTGGATGAAATCAGACCTTGACTCTACCTCTGCCTCTTTTGTCTGCTCTGGTTACAGGTCTCTCAGTACCCCCTGCCAAATACTCTGCATAGCAAAAGAAAAACTCTTCAGAAATTTACCTTGCTGAAAGAGCTTTATTCCTGTCATGCTGGTCAAGCACAATAATGCTCTTTTCACCTGGGAACATGCTGCTGCCAGCAGAAGGCCCCCAAATACAATTGTCTCCACTCTGACTTGCATGTTCATGCCTAGATAGCTGCCATCCTGCTTTAGTCCCCTGAAAGTTATATGTCTTTTCTAGGCTCACGGTACTGTCAGTGGAGAAACAGGGGGACCTCTGGGGAATTATTTATTGCAGTCTAAGGTAGATGCCTGAGATAAATGAACTGAATTGCCCTCTAAAGCATATCTATTTCCTTCACTTAAGAGCTACTCTGGATCACTTGCCTGCAATAGAGTTTCTGTTGCTTGAGATGCATTTAATAGTTTGATTCAGCATTACTGCAGAGCTAAGCAGGACCCTTTCTGTGCACAATTCAAGTCAGTGGGACCTTTCCCAGGTGTGTAAAGGCACGTTTGCCATATCAAGATATAAGGAAAGGGCACTGCAGTTCAATCCAGAGACTGTCAGTGTGTGAGCGATGCTTGTGCCTCTGTGGGAATACAAGGTACCCTAGATATAACTACAGAGTTAAGAGAAACCTGGGAGGGAGGTGGTTAATCTGTACCTTTTCCCTTTTATTTAAGGCAAAGAAGAGAATTCCCACAATAAGACTCAACAAATTAGCTTATAAGGGTAGTATTTTGTAGAATGGAAGTCCTGATCCCCAAATGCTTCCCCATGTGCATTGCAGGCAGTGTGTCACTGTGAACTTCATGTTATGCTGTACTTTTATAGAGAATTTTCAGGGAATGCTTCACTACTTTGATTATGATGTGACAGCAAAACCAGAAACACCAATGGAGACAGGCAGAGCTGTTGTGGTTAGAACAGTTTCAATGTGGCAGAGGGAAGGTTTCACCTCCAGGACCTTCATCATCTACAAATGCCTAGAGCTGACATTAAACTGAAAAGCCTCATGCAGGATGTAAGAGAGAGACCCTCTTCTCTATCCTTTAGGTTGCAAAACTTGCCTTGCTTGTAAACCTAATCTGATTTAGTCTAAGTTGTTCAGGTTGTGTGATCCTAAAAAACAACTTGGGTTACTCAGTAAAAAAAACAGCTACTGTTTTTGAGCATTGCTAATACATAAGAAATTAGACAATCACACCACCAGGTACCTTTTTCTCATACTTTAGCCTGCTGATTATTAATGGAAGAGTTGCCCCTTCCAGATTAGAATGTTTTTTAGGATTTAAATGTACCAATTCCAAGGCATCATCCCACTTTGAGAAAATCATGCAAACAGACCAGACTAACAACAACAAATGGAAAACCCACCCACTGAGCAAGTGTTGAAAAGCATTAATAAACTGCAAACAGGAGACTGAATGGATGGTTTTAGTGAGAGCAACCTGGTGCTCAGCTTCCCATTTTGAACTTGGAGATAAAAAAAAAAAAAAAAAACCTCAATGGGAGATCAAACTTGACCCTTGTGTACAGTAGATACTGAGCTGGGAAAGAAAATCTGATGAAAAAGCTGAATGAAATGCTGTGCTAATCCCTTTGAGAAAGCACGCTTGAAGAGTGCTCTGCCATCCAGAGCAAAGTCTAGGTTCAGCTGTGACATCCCCCTCAGGCTCCCAGAAAGTTAACAGGACACTGCCCAGGCCCAGAGAGAGTCTTTAAGCATTAGTCATAATAATGAATAGCATTCTCTCTTAATCTGCTAGGGAAAAAAAAAAAAAAAGTTGTATAACAATTGGATCTCCTGGCACTATCTAAACCACCCTTAGCTGACCCTCCAATGTGAGACTGCAAAGACATTCCCCTGTAAAAAAAAAAAAAAAAAAATGTTGAAATTTGATATGTAAATGGGAATCTGCTGTTCCTTTTTGTCTGTAGAGGTGGCCTGCCTCTGATCCCTTTGCTTCTCCTGTTCCTAGCAGCTGAGATGAATGAGAGCTGGGTCATGCGCAGAGCCTTGTTTTGACACTGCTTAGATCTAGATTAAAAAAAAAAAAAAGGGGGCATGAAAAGAGCCCCAGAGCAAGGCACACACCTGCCTATTATTGGGGGTGACAACAGAGGATTAAGCAGTTTGGATATAGACTTGTATGGAAGCTTTGACTCAGAAGCCTAATCGTTTCCTAACCAATGGTTAGCAAAGCTGCTGTATCCTTGCCTCTTTCCTGTGGCTTATGTGGAAGCTTAAGGGATCCTTCTGAAATGGCACCATCTTTTGTACTCACCCTTTGCTTAGCTTAAAAATAATGCAGGCATGTAGACCCATTTAAAAGGGTCTCTAGGAAAACAAGCTTTTTTACTTGGAGAACAAGAGGTGAAAATTAAAATGTGCACAGATGCACATGCACGCACACATGGTCTGAAAGGCTCTGCTTCTCATCCTTTACTTCTGAGCAGAGGGAGTGAACTTTTAATTCTAATATCACAAAGGCCCCATCACATCTTGGTTCAAAGTCTGTCTTAATCAGCCCTGACCACACACAGAGCTGTCTATCTTATTTCCTTCATTTAAGAAAGAGCATTGGCAGAATCAATCCCCACACCTGACTTGCTTTAAAAATTGCTTAAAAATGCTCCAAGGATGCACATATATATATTTCAGATTCAAAAGGCTTTGCTTGATTTCTTTTTTTCATTTTGCTTGGGTTTCTTATCAAAAAGCCAGTGTCTGTTCATATCTTACACGTTATTATTAGACAAAGTTTAAGGCAAGGTACCTCAAAGGCCACTGAATTACTTGAGCACCTGCTGTTTTCCTGTAAGTTGGGACCATATTGTTACAACCAATATTATATTTTACATCTGTGTCTAATTAAATGGAGAAGACAGCTGTGCTGAGGGCAGACAGATTTATTGAGGACTTGAGTGGAGGCTGCTGCATGAATTATTCATTTTTCATTATTTTCTTGTCTCCTCCCTTTTACAGTACTTTTTGACAAAACAAACTTAGTATGAGAGTGAGACTAAAAGACAAGAGGATGCTTTGTGCTACTTTGTGACCAATAGCCAATTCTAAAGTACAATTCTAAATTTTTCACTACACTACTGTCAAGGGGAGAACCCAAATAAACCAGCCAACTCTGAGCCAGAACTGTCTGCACACCGTCCCTAACATAATTGATGATGCCTTTGACAAACAAGGCCATTGTCACGTCGGCTGGTGTTTTGTTAGACAGGGAGGCGGATGGAGAGAAAACCAGGGTTTGCCCAGAGAAAAGAAGTAAAAATCAGCAGGAAAAGTGTTATCAAATACTGGAAAATGTAAAAAGGAGAGGTTTTGGCAACTTCCTTTTATGCTTCTTTAATTGTGAGGTTTATTTGCAAATCCATGGTACTGTTAAGCAGATAAAACCCAGTCATCCACAGCTGCCCTTTCAGCATGTGACATGTGGGCTCTTATTTTAGGAGTTACCTTAGATGCACAACTGGGATTTTGGCCGTAATACTCTGGAAGCCAGACAATGTACCCACCCAAGCTGAAATGCTAAATAAACACAGACTGAGTAAAGCGTTTGCAAGCCACTTGTATAACTCATCTGAAAGTGTTGTACATGTATTGATTCAGCTTTCTGATCCATCAGAAGTTGTCCCAGTTTCTAACTATATGCCCCACAGTTCATCTGGGAACCTTAGGTTTTCTGAACTGTAGCCCCAAAATAAAAAAATGCCCTTTTTTCTGACCTCCTCATCAGCTTTCACCAGTGCTGTCAGTCACTGTGCTGTAATATTTTCCCTCAGGGATAGGATGGGAGACAGTCTCATCTTCCTGAATCAGGATCCAGTCTCAGCTGGGGATAGGTCTTCTACTGATGGGATTTACCCATCTGTTACGTGACTCTAACTGATGAAACCTGAAAACTGGAAATAAGATGGGAATAAAGACCCAGAAGTTGAAGAAATATGTTTTAGGTGAAAACTCCTCAGGTAGATGCCACATGTGGAGATATTACAGTGAAAAAAACACCTGAATTCAAACCAACCCAGATGTTGGCAACCTCTTAATCCTTGTGACTCAGACCTATCTGCAGTAAAGGAAAGGTGTGTTTTCCCTCTTTATCCCCAAATCTATGACAATCATTTTCTTCAGTGACTGACAAACTAAATGTCTCTTTTTCTAGGGTGATGTAGTTGACCCTGCAAAAATCAGGGGGGAAAAAAAATCTAATCAAGTTTAGGGATAAAAAAATCATAACTTGCCTTTGAAACTGCCCGTGCTAATGAGCACTTCAGTGTCACACCTGCTCTCCAGAACTGACAGCACAAGCCCTGGGTTTGCTCCCAAAGTCAAGACTGCTTTGTGGCAAACAGGCGAGCTGCTGCTGCCCGCCAACCGGCTCATTGTGCTGAGCACGCTGCCCACGACAGCACGCTCATTTTCTGTCCTTAGGCTATTGTACCAGTGTCCCCTGAAAACAACAGGCCAAGATCTGTCTACAGCAGTGTAATAATATTATTAAAGTTATTTGCATAAAGAGCACGGGGCATGGGGGAAAAAATAACTATGGTAAGCAGGTCATAGGAGAAATACAAAATTGCTCATCCTCTTTCTTGTATAATTTTCAAAGGATATTTTCTTAAGTATCAAATATGAGGTTGGAGATGAAAGGGAACTCTGTCCCTGCTACACTTTCAACTCATTATAGTCACATACTTGCCCCTTCCCCTTGGAAAATGATGTGTGGAATCAGTGTTCATTTGGTCTCTTATCTGTGAGATCATGAAGAAAAGCAGTTTGATCAGAAGCCATGATGGGCAAGCTTCAAAAGCTTTGGAGATCATGTTTGGTTCAGATAAGTATCCAAAACGCTGTCCCCTGATCCAAGCTATGTAAACATGCTGGGTGCCCAACATTTAACTGAAAATCTCTGTTAAAGCAGGTCTTAGCCACAAGATTTTTATTTCTGCCCTCTTCCAGATGGATGAAGTAGTGATGCATTACCTTTTCAGTCTGTTCTACAAGCAAAAGCCAGGGCATGCTGCCCTGTTAATACAAAATGATCTGAAATATGAAGGCCTGGAGTTCAGCTCAGCTGTCATTTTAATCAAACTGGTTTGAATACCAGAAATGAGTAGGTTTGTTTATTGCTTGTATTTAACCTCTGCAGAGCTCTCAGCACTAGGCTTGACCATCTCAGCTTCTGCCTTGATGGAGAGGAGTCAACCGTGCTGGCTTTGCACCTCTCTCTGTGTATCCCTCCCTGATGCTGCCACATCTGGAATGTACTAATGGAGTGGGACAATGACAATTTATTGTCTGTGGAGGCAGAGTTGCCCACAGGAGCTGTAACTATCTGTTTTACTGCCAAGTTGTCTTGAGTTGCCAGGCTGGTGCCAAACTGGCAACAGCATTAGAAAAATTTGGGGGGGGCGTTTCCTCCTTTTTGCTCATCTTCAGCTACATGTAAAATACGTCTAGTGAGTTTAGAGGTCTTCTCTAATTCTGTTTGCTTTCCTTGAAAAAGATCTGCTCATATATTTGTAAAAAAAAAAAATTAAAGAACTTGATCAGCTTCTTCACAAACATACAGTACTGCAGGGTGAGACGTGTCCCTTAAAACTTGCACTGAAGGAATTTATGCGCTCTGTGGAGGCAGAAATCAAAAACGTGTTTCAGGTCATCTAAACCACCTGTATAAGCTGCATCTACCCCTAAGGAAATGGTAGTTTTGTGATCTCTGTGTTTACAGGAAAGGTGATGTAGGCAATACCTATCATTTTTTACCTTGTCTATGTTAGTGAATCTTTTTGCCAAACACTTTAAAAGTGAATGACCTTCAAGCCCCTTTAAAAATAAACACACAAGGGAGTCTTCCTGGTACCACTTCAAAACCTTGCATGGTCAAGGTCTGTGTAGCAGAGAAGAAATGACTTTCACGCATGAATGCTACCAGTTGTACTTGTTTTGCTGTGTTTAACGAGTTAAAAAGAAGCAAAAATAATATTGCAAACATAGGCTGAAATGGAATGTTTACCAGCTCTGACTTAAAACCACTGAGCATAAGGAAGAGGGTACAAGTTTATCAGCCTTGCAGAAATGCCACTTAACAAGGTGATCCCTTGGCACACAGTGTGACTCACCTGCTACCCTGTCTCCACAGCCTGTGCCTGCCAGCCCATGGGTTCAGCCAACGCGACCTTCAGCAGCAGCTGGAGGTGCCACCCCCGGACGGGGTTCTGCTACTGCAAACCCGGCGTGGCGGGTCCCAACTGCGACAGGTGCCTCGTGGGATACTGGGGCTTCGGAGAGAACGGCTGTCGCCCCTGTGACTGTGCAAGAGACTGTGACCAGCACACTGGACGCTGCTTCAACAGGTGAAGAAACCCTTCTTTGGGTTCTCTGTGAAATGAAGCAAAGACTAACAAATACCACAGCAGTATTTGTTTGGAGGGTGCACGATCATTTGAAAAGGCAGCTGGAAATCATAAGAGGTTTCTTAGATTACATTTCGTGTCTGGCACGCTTTTAAGACCAGTGTGTTATCCAAAGCAATCTTGAAATGATGACTCTTTTCAGTAATAATAGGCAATTCCACAACTCCGTGATATGTATACCATCTATAAATACACCTGTTTGCCTTGGGAATAGATGGAAGAGTCTGAAGAGCTTGCCCTCTCATCTGTGCCCTGGGTAAAATGAATGACAAAGTCTCCATCTTGTTTCTAGAGGGCAGGCATCTGTGCCCCAGATGGGTATAAATCAATACAGAAATCCTGTGATTTGCTGAGCCACTGCAGCTCTACGGGTCCTACAGCTGTTCTCAGGTCCTTGTGACATCAGGTGGTCACTAACTTAGAGTTATGTAATTCTCTAAAAACAAACAAACTGAAGGCAAAAAAGGCATGCTTTATAGCTACTTTAAAAATGCTAAGTCAGCAGTGGTAAAGCCTAAATAAAAGCCTAGGTCTTGTGATCTCTGTCTGGCATGAAGGCTTGCTCTTATTTGTGCTCCCAGTCTGAAGAAAGCATGTTCATTTGTCTGGATACAGCCATGTGCTACAAACACCTGCTTCCCACCCGTGTCATGTCCTCACCAGTTCTTCTGTTTTATGTGTCCTCAGCTATGACAGTGAGCCATTCTTTAACATCCCCATTGGGGGACGAATCCCTGACCTTGTCCAAACACCAACCAACGAGAGCGAAGAGGAGTGGAAATGGAATGACCACGAGCAGGGATTTTCTGCACTGAGGCATCCAGGTACAGCCCAGAGTCTGGGAACATTCACTGAATTCACTCAGTGCCAGTTCTTTCTCTATCCTGACTCAAACCCGCTCACTCATCTCCAGCTTGTCTGTTGCCCATCTGCTGGCAACTTTCACTAATCTGAGTTTGTAGGCTGTCATCACACTTGCATTGTTATTTTCCAAACTAACTGTGGGATTCAACTTTGGTTTTAGAAACTGGTAAGTCATGAATAACATTGCGTGGAAAAAATACTCTCCTTTTGTTTTCACAGTTATAGTCATAATGCTTCTGATTTTACACAGCTCCTTTCAAGCATTTGGTTACTGTTCAGAATTTCAAATGCTCTTTGTAAAAAGCTCATGTCAGCCACCATTGAAATGCACCACCTCTGGGGTAGGACCCGGTGATTTTAAGAGTAAGATATTCCTCATGGCACAACAGCTCAGGAGAGAAAGTAAAGCATATCCAGCTCATGTTACAAAGTAGGAATGAGGTGGCACTGTTAATAATTGAATAGTTCTCTATTTTGCCTGCCCTGTAAAGATCAGCACTTACCATCATCAGTGGCTTGGTAAGACACAGAGGTAACACCATTTACTGCATGGCTTGACTCTTCTGAGACACATATTGCCTTAATACAGAAAGGATGAGAGTTACTTAGGTCATGGGATCAGACAACGGTATCATTGCTTATGTGATTTACATATGGATCTGATTCTTACAAATCTCTTCATCAGGATCAGTTCATTAACTGTACAATAGACCTCATGCAGCTGTATTTTACCTGACAGTACTGATAAGATTTCAGAATAATTATTTTATCATATAACAAGAAACACATTTGCAAATAACTGAGCTCACTCTCAAACTTTCTCTTAAGGTCCATACAGATTATGGGAGCTATAGAAACCTAACTTTATAACTGAGGATCACTTGCTCTTCTTTTCTCTCTCTCTTGGCTCTTCTCCAACCTTCTGGTGATTTTTCTGGTGATTTTGCTAGAAAAGTGTGTGTGCAAAGAAAAGGTGCTTGGGAGCGTCGCTGACTTCTGCCAAATGAAATATGCCTATGGTAAGTGCCCTCAAGATACAATAATTTCCCAATGTTCTCTCTGTGGATGTTGTTAGCCAATAGTTATGAAAAACAACAGGATTGGTTAGGTCATGATATGAGAGGTAGGATTTCTTCTGCCTTTTTGGTCTATAGTGACATGTCCAACTTCTGATCAGAACTGAAAAGCATTTTTGTGCAAGGCTCCACGGTGTCTCCTTCCCACGCAGTCAGCTTCCCTCTACAGCAGGAGAGGTGCTCAGTGGAATGATTGGCCTCTACATCAAGACTAGATGATAAAAATCTCACATCTAAACTGCCATTGTTTTTGCACTCATTATGCAGCTTCAAATGGCCATGCTCATTTGCCAAGAATGTACTTAATACTGTTGTTTATGAGCACCTGGTTCATGTCATCACAAGAAGCAAAAAAGGAAAGCTCTGGGATCCAAAGGTGTTTTGTGCTTGTGCCTCGACACAACAAAGCCTGCTTGTGGGGCTGATCTAGATGGGGCTGGCCTGCCAAAAAGTTATGGGATCCTATTAAATTAAAAGGAAGAGAAATTTGTCACGGCAACCAGATGTTGGACCACAAAACAAAAATGTCTTTTCTGGTTTGTTGTGCAATCATGGAATTTTAGCCATGTGACATGCCTGCAGTCTGATGGGAAACTTCCTGAATTCCTTCCTGTAGAGTAGGCAGTCCCTTCTCACAGGACAAAATTTTTGAGAGGCCAGTGTTAAAGTTCAACAAGTGTTCAAACTGGAAAATATAATCAATGCACTTAAAATCAGATTGGTAGCTGCTGATCTGGGTTTTTCACCCTTCCTTATGTATATATACAAGTGCTTTCCTATGATTTCCAAGTGTTTGACATCAGCCCATTAAAAATAGCTGCTAAATAACATGGTGAAAGGATGAGTTATCTACTTCAAAAGAAAAATCTAGTTTTTCTTCTCCAAATTTATCTATAAGAACCACAAGTGAAATGCAGAAGCATTGTACTTTCCGTACAACTGCAGTTTTGGGAGTTTTGGGTGTTTTTTTTCATGTCTTCTTTTAGGGTGTTAGAATTCTAACTTTTAGCAGAATAAACCAAAATTTAGAAATTCATTATTGATCTTTATCCGAACAGTGATAAAAGCAAGAATCCTGTCTGCTCATGACAAAGGGACCCATGCAGAAGTTGTTGTGAAAGTGAAGAAGGTCCTGAAATCAGGCAAAGTGAAAATTGCCCGGAGCAACAGAAGCATTTACCCAGAATCCTGGACCAACAGGGGCTGCACATGTCCCATTCTCAATCCTGGTAAGGACAAAATGTTCACCAGGTGTTTTTCTTCCCCTGTAAACAGTGGTGACAATTCCTTATGAACATCAGACCATTTGCTTTTTTTTTTTTTTCTTTTAAATTAGGTAGTGACTACCTTATAGCAGGCCAGGAGGACTCTAGGACTGGCAAACTCCTTGTAAACATGAACAGCCTGGTGAAGCCCTGGAAGGCCCATTTGGGAAAACAAGTATCAGATATTCTTCGAACTGGGTGCAAATAATTTCTGCTTCAGAAGTTACAGCGCTGGACTTTGCCCTTTAGTAACACTGCAGTGAAAGGTGTAGTTAGTTCATGTGTTTCCACTCAATGTGCTCCTAGCTGAGGTGATGAGAGCAGACTTGCCATCCCTTCTACTTTCATATGCTTAGACAGGAAACTCAGGACATGACTACTTTTCTCAAAAAATGCACAGCCTTATAATACAAGAATATTTAGTGCATCACACATAGGTTACAAGTCAGTTCTTAACTTGAGCCTGATTCCATCCAGAGAATAATTTTGCAAGGCAAAACTAAAGATGTGGATTAGTGTTTCCATACTTCAGGTCAGAGTCTGACATTAATATGCATAAACTGCTTACATAATGCATTCATTACTGGGATGTAGTTTTCTTTATAAGTGACCACTAAAAGGCAGCAATTTCTTTAAGCTTTACAAGTGGCATAATACTAAACACGAATATCAAATAAATGTATTTAAAAGAGCTCAGAGTGATTTAACATCAGACTGCAATTATGCCAATATAACGGGTTGCTTTCTAGAAGACAATATTATCCCTTTGCTGAACAGAAGCAAACGTGAATTATCTTGGGACAATGTCCTTTACAGATGTGTGTTTGCTATCACCAATGCTTAGTGCTGAGCTCTGCTGCAGAAACCACCTGGGTTCAAACTCTATTCCAAATCCAGCTCTTTGCTGTAGTACATCAGTCTGTAACACCACAAAGGTTTCACAGCAATTACCACAAAAAAAAAAAAGCCTTAATGCCAGGAAGAAGTCAAAACGTGAGGAACAAGCGGCTGCTCGAATGTTGAGACTGTAACACTACAAAAGCCACAAAGCAGGAGGTAAATGGATTGACTGGTCCATATATTAAATGAGGTAGATACAGTTCTGTGAGAGCAACCTGGCTATTCCAGCTGTGCTCTAGACCACTGGCCTTTGATTGCACTTTGTGCTTTCATTGTGCTTCATTTCTCTTGGTCACACTTCAGGCTAAGATACTGAAACTCTGCTTCCTTCCCACTGTGCCTGAGGATTACTTTTCCCTCCACGAAAGTACACGAGTGGTAATATCTGCACTCCAGGTAAAATCAGTTCTGTTCTGCAAAAGTATTCTCTCTAAACCAATTTCACCCTACCCTATTGTAATCAAGAGGTAGCTACTTATATCCTCCCTTAACACAATATTTTGAGGAAATTGTAGTTTAAAGACCTGTGTTCCATTTGAAGGCCTCACAATGAAGTTTAAGGATGAAATGAAGCTGGTTGGAGCACTCTCTCTTCAAGCAAAGCAGAAATTACAAGGAATCAATCTATATTCTTTCAGGGGGTTACAGAGAAAAAGCAAGCACACGTGCTACTTTTGCATATTTCAATTCCATGTCTATAATTTTTAATCCTCCTAGGTAAGAGGAAATATGTTAATTTAGCACTGTCTGGCACATGGAGTATCTAGAAAACCCCAATACTAATGCAGAAAAATGGAAGTCTCAGCCTACAACTTAGGCCACCAGTTTGTTCTCTTTATTACTGGGAACCTGAAAAAACAGCTTCTTTCATTCTCTTTATTACTGGTTTACTTTTAATTTCACATTGATTGAACAGCAGAAAAATCCTCAGCTCCTTTGGAAATGGATTATAGGCAGATATTTACAAAAGAAAAGCCGTACTTTCTTCCCCAACAGAGTATAAACAGTGTGTCTTCCTCCCTCCTTTTCAGAATATTTCCCCTCCTCCACTGCCTTCCTTCGTTCACTTCATTATTTATTAGTTGTTACCTAAAGTGGTATCCAGCAATGTGGCATTTCCAAAGAGCCATTTAATTAATGCAATAAAACACTTTTTAACCAAGGAACTTGGCAGAATTTGAAATGTCAGTTTACTGAAATTAGCACAGCAACTGCTTTCTTTCCTGCCGGCAGAAATTGTCTCACAACAGAAAGATTGACCAGTTCTCTTTAAAATATCAATAAAGACATGCACATGAATTTACAGTCTGTTCTCAAAAGGCCTCTCAAAATAATGAATTTCAAGTGTGTTTAGAACTAAACTAAGGAATGTTCTTTTCAACAGAGGCCATGTTACCTGCAGGGGATCTTATTTAATGATGATGAGGATATCCCACGTTGCAAGCTCTCCTATTCCACTTTTTGTGCCAGACTGGTGATTTTGGGGGGAGGGTAAACATCTGCACAGTTCCTTTCTGTGGATGAAAGTTATTTTCTGACATGGTCGTTTGCAAGCTTTACTAGCTACTGCTAGTAGAAATACTAATTTAATAATAAAAGAATATTGATACCCTGGTGTGTTCTCTCAGGGCCTAGGATGATATAGTGATTAATGATTAATTAGGAGTCATTAATCACTGTTTGCATTTGTATGCAAACAAGATAGTCATCAATATATCCTGTATTTCAGATATCTCAAAAGTAGGCAATATGTACACACTTTTCTTTAAAGCTGACTGCAAGTTGACTTTTTATTGGTGTTTCTACTTGCGCTGATCAGGCACCTCTTAAGTTCACAGAGAAGAAAAATAAAAGAATAAAGTTTCAAGTCACACAGAGCTATCATGTGCAATCTTTGTTCTGCAGTGCTACAGTCCAGGGAGCCTGCCTGAAAATAAGAATGTAAATAGAAATTAACCACACAGATCAAATTATAACAGCTACTGATTACAAAAGAGATGAGAAAATCAAAAAAGATTGGATCTGTGTACATTGTCCTTGTGATCCTCCCTGTGACTTTGTGTCTTAGGTGGCACAGTCATACAAAGAATACTAATGTGGAAAAAAGGATGAATTTGGCCAGTACAAAGTGGCTGGGCAGCTTCTTTTAAAATGTGTGAACTGGAGCCTGCCTTTAAGAAGGCCACATGAACCACCTACAGCACCCTAACAGACAAGGAGGCTCACAACAAGTAGAGCAACCACATATCACAGAGCAGCAATGATCTACCATTTGGAAATCTTGCACAAGGATGAAATAAAAGCCTTTACTCACAAGACAAGGAGTCTGGAAAACTGAGGAAAGTTTCTAATAGGGCAGGTGATAGTTTGAAGCAGCAGGACATGTAACTTCTCAGAAAGCAGCAAACTCAGGATTGTGGAGGTCAGCGTAGCTCTCGGTAACAGCTGTGTCGCATGTGTGTCCATGAATACGTGATCCTTCTGACAATGTGGATCCTTAAAGCATCAAAGTAGTTCATTAAATGCTCATTGTGAGTGCTGAGCCCTAACTCCAACATACTGACATATTGCTAATAGTGCTTCTCCAGCTTCTGCTCTGGGCAAGAAGCGAAGAAGGAAAAGGTACCTATGCACAGCCTTTGTGCACTGCTCTTCTGAGAGGGGCTCACTGCTATAAAGAGTTTTCTCTGTAGCACTTGGCATGTCTCATAATTTTTTTCATGCTGCTTGATGTAAGGTTCCTTTTAATTGATATAATTCACATGACGTGCTCCCTCAAGTCCCCCAGGCCTGGAAAAGTGTGTTCCTTGTTATGTGTTGTAGCACTTTTTATTTTTTAATTAAAACTTCCAATTAAAAATATTCAGATACTTCAACTGATGTGAGGTTTGGGATCTATTTTTAAAATTTTAAACCACGCAATCCTCAAACCACATGCACGTTAATTCTTTTTAAGTTAGTAAACCACAAATATTCCAAACATCAGGGTCTTGCTTTGATAAGAGAAGAGTGTCAGGCAAACGGAGAAAAGCATTTAGCTAATAAGGTAACCATGATACATTAGTTTTCCACTGAGCAAATTACCAAAAAACATGTATTTGGTATGAAAACATGCACAAATGAAAACCACAAAACAAGTACAGTTAATTCTTGTAAATGGCATGTTAGTTCAATAACTATTCCAACCCCAAGCCTGCAAAATCTTATACATAAGTATTGCAGGCGCTTAATTCCCACAAGAAATACACTCATGAATTTTTGCTGGTCTGAGACTTAATGAGGTCTACAAAAGTATTTAACAGGTCCTAAAGCTGCTCCTTTATGGAGCGGATTTGTGGGATGCAAGGCATTAAAACAGAAATGCATGACAGGTAGGTGGAACACGCCCTACCTATAAATGTTCAGGATTTAGGCAGACCAAAGTCTGCTCGTGACAGTCTCCATACCTAAAATCAAGCCAGTGCATTACTGACACTTACCTTTGCAACTCTACATTATAGCTCCACGGCCTCTTTACACAGGTGCAGACTCTGTGCCAGTTCTCACCTTAGCTCTGAACTTCTACTGGGAAAACTCTACCTCTACAGTGAGTCTTCAGTCTTCACACATTAATGACAAAATAAATATTGCCATCATTCTTTTGTCTTGTGGCTGAATGATGAGAAACATCCTGATGCACCATTTTCATATGCACAGGTCTGAGTTTTCAAAGAGAATTCCAATCCAGGAGCCTGTTCCTGTATACTGGCACTAGATAGCAGCTTTATGTCAGGTGTAGAGCTTTCATGGCAAGTAACATGGGACAATATACAACATACATTCTGGTAGCCCAGATTCTCTGGCTCTTGGCTCTTCTGCATTTGAAAAATCTTGAGTCTAGCTCTGAAAATATAAACTCCATTTCTTCTGTAACATGGTCTTTATGAGAAAAATAACAACCAGTGAGGATATGTCTTTAATTAACTGTGCAGGTAATGCTCATAGTAACATCTGTACACACTCCCAATATAAAACAAATCCTCTGTCCACGTACCCTTCATATGAGTACTGTGGGTTAACCTGCACTGTGCAATCACTACTTTGTTTTCGCTACAGCAGGGCCTTCCTGAGCTGTCTGCTCAAAAACCATCAATACCAATTTGTAATAAGCCATTTGTAGAAACAAATATGTTGCTGTGGAATTCATTGCTTCGGTGTAACTTCACTCTTCCTCTGCTGGGTGGGTCTTAAGTTCCAGTATCACTAACAAAACATCAGCTCCAGAGGGGTTAAGAGCAGTTGAAAAACAACTGCAGACAGTTCAACAAAATGAAATCACGTACACTGAAGGGAGATGACTAAGAATAAATGACAAACTGTTGGTAGCTGCTCTACACTGTCCCACATTAACACTGCTAGAACTTTAATGAGTTAAAACAAGAGTCTAAGAAGCATATATAATCTCTTTTTTACTTCCCTAGGAATGGGAAAGTAGGTTCATTGACGTGTGATCAGATAAGTGCCTCAGATGAACAGGAGACATCGCTGTCAGGTTTAACAAGGGCATTCTCAGTCAGAAGCGCAGAGGATATAGATCTTGTTTCCAACATAGCCCTGCCAGATCCCCAGATCTAATGATCCTTAGAATGAACTGCAAGATAAACGTCTCCCTCTAGCCACCACTGCGTTCATCATTCCTGAGGTAGGAAGGAAGGAATAAAAAAGGTTATTTTTGCATCTGAAGCAAGTTCATATCTCTAGGAAAGTTATTACACACAAGCTCAAGTCAGGTCTCTGAAATTTACTTAGGTTGTACTGCACAGAATAACAGAAATTACTAACTTCTAATTCTGAAAATGCAATTTTACCTAATTTTAACTAATTTGCAGTATTTGTTTATATTTTAGAGTATATTTTATGTTAAAAGAATCACCTAGCAGAGATAAGTTTTAGAGGCAATCATTATCTGCATCAGGAGATGTGATACATGCACCACTGATTTAAGTGGATTGCAGGAACAAGCCCATCCTTACAAGCAAATTATCACAAATGATACATGAATTTGCAGCCTGCATCAAGCAGGGAATTCCAGGCAGTGACAACAGTCCTACCCAGCCTCCAAAACCATGGCTTGTTTCACCACTGCACCAGAACGGCCACAACTGAAAAACTGAATCATTACATGGCAATATGGTAGCACATCTAGAAGTGCTTAATTTTCTTTTAGCTAAACTTTAATAAATGTTTAATCACATTCAGCATATCAGCTTTTATAGGACAGATAAAAAAATGGCACAGAATTAAATAAAGAGCAATTAATTCTTTCCTAATGAAGATTCCCTTCTCCCGCTGCAATGGCTACTTTTTACTTGACACAGTAGCACCTGACAGTACCTGATAACACCATGCATAAAATTATTACAAAACAACTCCACAAACTGCTCAAAAACATTTGAATCTACTACTCTCTCTCCAAGAATCAGTACCTCAGTGATGGCAGACAGAGAACCAAGACATTATTTATCTAATATATATATATGAAATAAGAAACACATTAGAACAAGACTGCAACATGCAGCTTTAAGTTTTGTATCCACAAAATAAAAATGTAACTTTTTATCATCTGCTTATTTCACAAGTTCGTCACATGTTGCCAAGGATCACTTTATCATCTTTATTATACATTCAAATAACCACTATTTGATTTGAGCATGCAACTATAAGAGGAAAATCATGCAAATTAAGCAATGCTGGGAAACAGAAATAGGAATTACATTATCGATACACTGACAACTGCATTTTACAAAAACAAAAACTTCAACAAAGAACTCTTCAGGATTAGAGCTGTAACTTCCTTTCTCAAAACACTTTAAACACATTGCATAGTGTTTTTCAGTTTCTGAT